TTTGCAGCGTCTCCGTCTCCTTTTCTCTTTTCTGTCTGCAAAAGCTGATCTAAAGACGTGACAGAGGCCAAAAATACATGCATGTATGTGAACAATTTTGAGAGAGGGATTTTTTTGTGGTTTTAAAGTTAGGTTCAGCTCTTATTGACTTAGTCAGTCTGCTCTTAGCCTGAAGTGTCAAATAGTGACTCACAAGGCTCTTCCTTTCAAGTATGTAAAAGATAACATATTTTTGGATAAGATTAAGACAGCTTGTTGTGGTCTGACTTGTTCACAACATTTTACTTTAACCATACTCTTTCCAATGGGACAAACATGTTTTTAATGAGAAAACAATTAAGATCAAGGGATCCTTTTATCTGTCCCACAGTGGGGAAATTTCATTGTTGCATCACCAGTTACAGGACAGTAGGACTGAGGAGCACATAGGACAAGATAAATGAGCAATAACTTAAAATACAAATAAATAAAAACAAATCAAATTAAATCTATGACTTTAGCATAATAAAGAAGCAGGCAATAAGTATGAAATCTCTAACTTTATTATAAAGTCTAGACTATGGTTTGTTTTTGTTTGGCTACACCTTGAGCCCAGTACACAGGAAGTCAGGGGAACATCAAGGACATCGGTGTGCGCCACATTCTGCTTTTTTAAGTATCAGTATCAAGCGATAGAACAAGGCGAGTCGTCCCGGCGTGTCAGTGGAACGACTCTGATAGACCAATTCGGTAAACAAGCCACACAGACATTCTGGCATCCACGCCCCCTTCCCCCACACAAGCGCAGGGTAAAGACCACGCACACCACACCCGGCCGGGACGTCTCCTCTTCCTCTGCTCTCAATGTCTCACAGGAAACCCACACGGGCCCGAAACTACAGCTACAGTCACTCGAACATGTGCGTTTTTATGGTGTATACAGTCCATGGTTTGAGTTCGATGCATTTTGTGTAGTCAGACAACCGCATTCTAGTGAGATAGATTCCACAGGTCTACTCAATTCAACCATGTCTTCAGTTGGCCTGCAGCGTATGAATCAATTACAATCACAACTTTAGTATACTTTTTTCTACACCCATAATTAACAATGTACTTTCCTTTTAGATTTGCGACCTGAATTCCCACAAACAAGCCAATCCACTCCCCTCCCCCAGCCATCACATACATACGCTATCGCCCTATGGTCTGTTCTGCCCATCAACATAGTAAACTTTTACTGTGGCCTGATTTAAAGTTGTCAAATGAAAATAACATGACAACTTCCATCACTAAGCATTGTCTCGCAAAAATAATACTACAATAGTTTTACTTTTCTAGGCCATAAAAAGGACCTTTTTACCACAGTAAGGTATAACATGATAACCTATTAGAAAACATTGTATATTCTGCATACTGCATGTGAGTCACTGTTTGTCACATTTGAAATCGGATTGGCGTGGTTGCCTATCTTTCACCTTTCTGTCAGATAAAGCTGATCTAAAAGTACATACATTCATATCAAACCTACTGCTTGACCCACTACTGATGGTCTTGAGAGCAAGGAATGAGTTTGGCACATTTTATAACATTGTTAATTCGTTTTGCGGTTTGACAGTCGGATACCTCAGCCCTAGTTCCATCAAAAGCGCTTGTGGCGGTGTTCACATCAAGTTCCAGGTCGCATTCGGTCAGAACATTCCTGTTGTCGGTGGAGCAGGGAGGGGTGATGACTGTGATTGTATCTGGGAGCAGTGGGTGGAGGGGCTCCTGGTGCTTTTATAATTATTAGTGGAGACTGACAAGACAATAATAATACAATACAGTAAAAGTATATGCACATAGATATCATTCAAAACCAATAAAAACAAATGAGGCTATTTCAACAAACGCAATTATACAACACACGCACAGAACTAACCATCAGATTTCTGTGATTTAATTGTACATACAGAACTTAGCTTGGAGCTGGGTTAAAATGCAGACTTAAGAAAACCGTCTTCAATTCATTAGAAATCAACTTTGCACACTTAGCCAAGCGCTGTATCGCTTCTTCATGGAAATCAGACACTCCAAGCACTGTTGCACAGTGGTTGAAAGGCATGGTTTTATATTTAGCTTTAGAAAAAATAGCTGTGTCAGTAAAAACAAACTTGACAATTTTCTACAATTGTGGAATATTTTCTATGGCTTTCTAAGGAATAACAATATCGCAGTTGATGGTTGGACTGATGCAAACAAGGGTATATTGTATCTTCATTTGATTTGATTATTTGTGTATATTTATTTTAGCCAATACTTGTATAGACACCTCATCCTTGTTGTGAAAGTGCCTTGTGTTCATTTTTTTTTTTAAACTAAAATTTCAATAAATACATGTTTGAAAAAAAAAAAACACTTTGCACACTTGTAAGAAAGATTTGGGCTCAAAGCTGAGGGAGGGTCGTCGTTTCTACTCTACTTTTCTGTCCGAATAGGCTGATCCAAACCTGTTTACGAAACCAAAGGGCAAGCTAAGATTTAGTTGGACTGTTTTAATGTTGTTTTGTAAGTTTGATAATCAAATAACCAGGTCGTCCACATGCCCACGCACATGCGCACACACACAGATAGGAGTACATAATTGGCTTAAGCCTTTTGGGGATTTTTCTTTGGTGGTTGCTGGTGGTTGGGGTTTGGAGCAAAATTCCTGGCTCAGACACCTCACTGCTTCCTCCACAACAGTTCACATCCCGGCTCTCCTCACCCCCATCCCCCACCACGCACACAGACCACGTGACGGATGGCTGGAATCGCCCACCCATTCGCCTTTGTGAGGGTCATGTGATCGGGAGCCTTGGCAGCGCCGTGTGCCCTCTGATGCAGAACTGAATGGCAGCGGAGTGTAGGAAGGGCCCAGGCCAAGGGCAGTTAGTCTCCCTGGAGAGTTTCTGTGGAGCATCACGTTTGCTGTTAACCCTTCACTCTCCATCAAGGCTTGAGTAAAGTTTCTAGGGCTGTAGTTGATCAATTGGTTTTTGGTTATTACTCAGACGTCACAAACAAGAAAACGTGTACGTATATGCACACAGTCACCAATAGATGCTAAAAATCTTCTGTAACAAGTTTTAAGATACGCTTTTATGAGGTGAAAACAAAAAAGTAACTAATAGCTTTTTAAAGATTTGATTATAGTTTATAATTTTCCTAAAGCTGCTCTAAAATGTGTTGTACTATAAGTGGATTCTTTTCAGTATATGGGTTTGATGCTAGTTCAATTAAAGCTAATTCTCTTTTCTCTCTCTGGTCTCTCTCTTGTCTCTCGTCTCTCTCAGGTCTCTTGGCTTCTATCACATGTTTAGATATTTTAAAAAGGGAGTCTTTGTGTGAAAAATATTATACGTTTTAAACCCAACATCTGATCTGATTTGTTCTCAACATTTTAGACTAAGAAGTTGGAAAATCACAGACTGAGACAGCAGAAACTTTCGCACAGTTGACCTGTTTATTTGCTGCGGTCTCCAGAATGAATTAGTTACACGACTTCATATACAAACCATTTGGGCCACTTATGTTGTGTATGACAGAGATATGAGCAGTTATGAACAAAAGCAAATATGTAGATGCAGATATGAAACTTTATTTTACGTTTAGAGATGTTAATTTGTCAAATTGATAGGATTAAAACCTTCAAAGAAAAAGTCTCACATAAGCTGTCCATATTAAATGTACTTATTTCATATATCTATATATTATCTGTCTGGGCTCTATTTGTTCACAATCTTAAAACTTATAAAAGTTACTGTATATGTATCAAAATATACAGTTACAATTATCATTTTAATTTCTGGTCTCTGTCTGTCTCTCTTTCCAGTTCTCTCTGGTCTCTCTCTGGTGTCTCTCTTTGGTCTCTCAGTCTCTCTCCGGTCTTAAATTTCCACCTCAAACCCTGTTTGATAGACCTATGTGCCGAGGCAAACCTGTACTTGTCAACCTTCAGTTGACCTAGATATGTGTGTAATTTCAAAATTAAAGCTTGGTTACAATAAGACATGTTTTAAACTGCTGCAAACAAATCAATCATCTTAGTACCTGTAAGAGAGAGCCCTGTGAATCACTATTCGATGCTTTGGTCTGAGTGAGGATGGTCCTCTTTTTTTCACTTTTCTGTACAAAAAACTGTATCAAGACATGCGAACGAGACCAAAAAACACATGCACATGAAAACTAAAGAACCAAACTGTCGAAATAGATTTTATGACATAGTTAAATTGTAATCTTGAGGTTCCCCAGCTTTAAATTGAGGAACAAATCGTATGTGTATCTGAACAAAACGTCTATATGCAAATTATAAACCAAGGAGAATCCATTTTTATTATGTTTTAATAGACTGTAAATCATCCTCCTCTGTTTAACTCAGATTGGTTCGACTACCTGAGCCAGTGCAGCGGGAATGGTCGACCAATCGCCCCGCAGCCACCCACCTAATCACCACCTACCCTCTGGTGCTTTTGAGCCAAAAACATTTAAACACTTTGTTTGCCTTTGCCTTTTTTCAACACATTCATTCAGATCTCAGAGATAGCGTTTGTGCGTTTATCCCAGGGTTTCAGCGAGGGTCGAGGAGACGCTCTGGTGAAACCGCAGCTCAGAAAACACCAGAAAATGCAGAATGCTCTCGGTCGGGGGTGTGTCCGCGTGAGGGGAAGTGAGGCAGAGCCGTGTGGGGGAGGGGACTGCAGGGGAGACGAGAACAGCTTTCCCCCAAAAAACTCCAGTATAGCTGCAGTTTGGGCTTCGATCAACCAGTCAATCGTTGTCACTTTGCTCCTTATTGCTTCTTGATTTGGAAACTTCTTGCTGGGCCTGATAGAGAGAGGTGACACTGTATTATTAGCCTCAGTAACCTCAGTGATTGATTGATTTTAATTTTCTAACTGTTCATTATTGTGTCTTCCCTTGCAACAAATGATCAACGCAATTAGTTTATTTTTATTTTTTTTACAATGACAAATCAAACTGATTTTCCCCACTCTGCTTTTCAGGACGCCCTCTGGTCTGCAGCGAGCGAATGACCCAGGCTGTGGACATGCCCTCCCATCCTCCAACCCCCACGTCTGGCCTACAGTGAACCAAAAACCTCGGCAGTCTCGCATTCACACTCACTCACCACTCTTGACGGGGAGAGAGCTGGTCACGCCATGGCCAGCAAAAGGAAGTCCTCGACACCTTGCATGATTCCCAGCAAGGCCACACGTCTGCTGGATGAGGCAGAGCAGGTTTCTCCCATTTATCTCGGGCAAGCTAGGAGTTTGGGGATCGAGCAGAATAACTTCCTGGATGCTTGCGAGAAGGCGGAGACAAGTGAAGAGAAAGATGGCACTTACACTTGCAGGCCTTGCGACTTTGAGACCCAGGATCTCAACCTGTTTTTGGACCACGTGTACTGCGGCCACCCAGATTTCCGTTCGGACTCTTGCTTCCTGTGCCTGGCGTGCGGGGTTTCGTCGGCTAAGTTTGAAGGCCTGGCGCTTCACAATGCCAGAGTCCATCCCAGCACTTTGAACACCACTCTGCAGCTGAGAATGAAAGACAAACGTGTGGTGGTGGAGCAGACTTTACTCAGCAAGGCAGAAACAGGGAAAGATGCTGAAATCGCCATCACCAAAACGCCTATTATGAGAATGCTCAAGGGGAAATCTGAGCCCAAAAAGATCATGGTTTCGCACTCAACGTCGGAGGAAGCAGAGGCGCATCCCGGGAAGAAAGAGAGCGAGCGGAAAGATGCCGGGAATGTCTCTTCTCTGGCTCACAACAGCACCGCGAAAGTCCTGCCTTCTGCTGTAAAGATCGTCAATGGATCGGGAGCCTTGCCAATACTCAAGACGCCTATTACTCAAGTAAGAATTCAGTTAGCCCTTTCTACTGTACATAAACAAATATATTAGTTTGTCAATATTTACACAGTATTTAAAGAGACAGTATGTAGTTACAGTTTTATGACTGTTCCCAGTTAATAGGTTACATTTAAACTTGTTTAGAAAAGGACTAATATGGAGTTATTATGTTATTAAGAATACAATGGACATGATGAATGGACAATTTTCAAGCAGATTATCCATGTTGGCTCAATTTAGTTTTTTAATAACAAAATACCACCAAACATATTTAAATGAAAGCAGATACAGAAATAGGTTATCATACCTTACACAGACTGCTCTTAACAACTCCAGCAGGTTGATTGCATCATTAATCACTGCCCAGTGCTACATGTGTCACAAGAGGAAGTGTGATTGTTATTACTTAATTTGACCACTAAGAGTACATACTGCATACTGTTCCTTTATAGATATATGGGAGGATGTTCCCAGATTTTAGGAAGAACCGTCCTCTCCAATGAGAACACCTACTAAAATGTATCACCGTCATAGAATGAATTGACAATTTCACCCATCTACGCTTCACAGAAATACGCTTTTTTTCTGGGTGCCAAACTAACTTTTAATATTGATTAAATATATTAATATTAATATAGTTGGATATATTAATAATATCCAACTCATGCGCGATAAGCTATACTTTTCAGTTAGTGTTGTTTTAGTAGTAACTGTTTAAATGTGTTGTTGTTGTGTCCATAGGTGGTGTCTGTGGTTCAGAGCAAAAACTTGAGTCACTCCGCACCTGTAACTGCTTTAAACGTGTCTTCTTCAGCTTCACAGTCTTCAAAAAGCCTTCCGAAGGTAATTGTATTTCATGTAGATAAGTCTTTTTTGAGGAGTTGTGTCTGGTCAACTCACTGGTTAAATCCTTTATACAAACACTGTATACTATCAGGGCTCATGATCTTGGTATTTCTAACCCTTGCCTTAGGGTTCACCTTACAATTAACTGTTTCTAAACCTAACCAAAACCCTAATCTTATCCAGATTCTGACTCTTAAATGCAAAGTTGAAGAAGGAAATAGCAACAAAATTTGAAGATTTACCTCAGCTCGGGATGAAATACCTAGATTTTGATGAGACCTGCTTAACCTGCGCTTGTCTGTATGTTAATAGAATCGTTAATCGAGATTGGCCTGAGGTTGCTCACTATTTACCTGCAAACACTTCACAACGTTAATGGGGCTGTAACAAGTTAACGGATATATCGTAACTAATCAATTATTTAAATAGTTGTCAACTGATTTTGATTTAAGAATTAATGAAAAAATTAATGAGAAGAGATTTCATGCATCAGTTTATTATAACTGCAACAAAGAAGAAATTTGTTTAACAAACATACAAAACAACAGTTATTTCAAGCTACATACAACAATCGGGTTATTAAAATCAAAAGTTCTACAGGGAAATCCCTGTAGCTTTGTTTTGGTCAAATGTGTAAAAAGTCCCATATTCACACCTTTTCTGGGTTGACAGAATAATCAACCACCAGCGAAAAGATAATCAATATTATTGTTTATTACAGCTTTTACAACATTTTGCTTGTGCTGTTTTTCTGTATATTATGTTAAAAGAATCATATTTTTCTTATCCCAAAGGAAACATTTCTTGTATCTTTTTGAAACTAGATTATTTTTGCTTGTTCTTGTGGCAAATCTTGTTTTAAGACAGTAAAAATTTGCTCAAAATAAATGTAGCCAAATTTGAGCCATGTGTCATCACTTTGTGCTGGGAGTCTCCATGACCGGATCACTTTAATGTTATGTCTGCATTTGTCCATTTTGTGAAGGCCATTTTTCTCACTTGCGTTGTTTTAATTTCGAAATGACAATAAACATGAATCTAATCTCATCTCCAGGTGATGATTCCTCTGAGCAGTATTCCCACATACAGTGCCTCTATGGACGAATCCTCCTTCCTGAAGACCTCTTTCAGCAAGTTTCCGTACCCGACGAAGGCCGAGCTCTGCTACCTGACCGTCGTCACCAAGTTTCCCGAGGAGCAGATCAAGATTTGGTTCACGGCTCAGAGACTGAAGCAGGGCATCAGCTGGTCCCCCGAGGAAATCGAAGAGGCCAGAAGGAAAATGTTCAATACTATAATCCAGACCGCACCAGCTAGCTCCGCCGGCCTGACCAGTCCCACTCAACACACCATCACCGTCCTGCCCGCGTCGCTAGGGGCTGCGGGCCTTCCACACTTCCTCCAGGGCTCTTTAGTCAGCCAGGGAGGGATGTTCGTCACACAGCCCATGATGGCCAATGGTATTCAGGTTAGCAGCACTCCGGTCGCTCTCGCTGTCACGCCCAAGCCGCAAGCCGCCGCCCGGCCGATGATGCAGGCTCGCCCGGCCGCCGCGCTGGGAGCAGACAAAGCTATTAGCATGGTGATAGGAACCGTAGGCAGCAGCAGCGCAGGGACTAACGTTATCAGCCCCAGTAAGAGGAACGGAAGCAGTAACAGTCAGGCGAGCGTCATCAATTTAAGTCTGGTAAGCAGCAGCAGCAGCAGTAGCAGTAGTCACGCAAAAACTACTATGAACGGAAAGCCTGGTAATTTAGAGTCTAAGAATAAAACCAATCATAGCAGTATTGGTAAAAGCGGCAAATCCAGTAGTCCTAGCTTTGTACAAATCAGCACAGAGCCTAAGGTCAAAGACAGTCACGGTACAATGATAGATGATTTTCCCTCGTCTGCCAGTAGTTCTCCAAGCATCAAAATGGAAGATTCAGCCTCTCCTGCTTCTAAGTCCTCCTCGCCCTCCCCCGTGGCTTCCTCCGTCTCCGGCTCCAAAACCCCGGTCAATCCGTTCATGGACCCCAGCTTCTTCAAGGGCAAGAAGTCGCAGGGACAGCTCAACACCTTGAAAGATAGTTTTCTGGTCAATCAGTTCCCCGACCAGGAGGAAGTGGACAGACTCATAGCTTTAACTGGACTCACCGTGAGAGAAGTCAGGAAGTGGTTCAGCGACAGACGATACCATTTGCGGAACCTAAAAGGGTCTAAGCCAGGAGGACCGGGGAAAGATAAAGACAAGACCTCGTCGGGTTCGAACGGGAGCCAAGCGACGCCGGGGAGTGGCGTGGCGAACAGCGGCAGCCCTCTGGATCTGTCCGAGGGGAGCGCCACCCCAGACGCCAAAGCAGCTGCTCCTCTGAGTCCCCCTCCGTCTCAAACCCCCACCTCTCCCATCACACCCTCCAGACGAGCCCCCAGAGCACCCTCCCCAGACTTCACAGCAATACGCTACAAGGAGAGGGATCCCAAGCAGGTAACAGAGCAACACTTCTGCTCTTAGATCTGGGGTACCTACTTTGCAAACCACAAAAAATGTCACGCACTTGAAAAAGACAGACTTAACTAGACTGGACGAGCTGGACAAAAATCATAATTCAACATTATTACCTCCCATATACCAATCTCTATTTAAGTCTAAGATGAAGAGATGGTAATGAGGAGCATACAGCACAAGATAAAATAACATTAATTTTATACTAAAATAAGAAAAAAAAAAAAGAGTATAAAAAGGGGCATGTATCGAATCTCTAGCTTTAGCATTATAAGGAAGCAAATCTAAAATGTCCAACTTTATTTCCAAAACAAAAGAAAAAAAAACCTGGTATCATAAATTCAATATTTTCACGTTGCTGGTGTTGACAATTTTTGAAATGACAAACTAAGCCAAACTGCATGTGAAAGACGGATCCCGTCAGACCCATTAAGCCACATGTGTCAAAGTCAAGGCCCGCGGGCCAAATCCGGTCCGCGAATGAGTTTTACATGGCCCGTTGCCTGCCATTGACGCACTATTACGTCTATTGCGTTTTCTGCTATTTTCATGTTCCCAGATGTCTATTATATCTAATATGTATGGGGATAAGCTTGAGAGCATAGTGAATCCAGCCAGCAGGTGGCAGCAGCGCTCTCTGAATGGTTTGAAAACAGCTAGATGCACTTGTTGTGCCTCTTTTTTCTCAGCTTTTTGGTGATTTCAGTTAAACTTCCCTCTACTCAACTGGGGATTACAAGCTAGAAACAAAATTCTTTTTGCTGATGAAAGTAGACAGTCTATTCTTTCAGAATCTGGTTTCGGATTTCAGATAGTCATAGTACACAATATTCTGTGGGTCTTGAAAAATCTATAAAAATCATCAGAAACTGCTGGCAATATGGGAGTACCTGTTCTGAAATAGGCTGGCAGGCGATGAGTTTATAAACATTAAACCAGTCCGGCCCTCGGCTCACAGCAAATTTGTTTTTTTGGCCCTCTGATATATTTGACTTTGACATGCCTGCATTAAGCTAAGCAGCATAGGGCCTGGGTATTACTGTGATGGGAGACCTCTTTGAACACCATGTGCCACAGTGGGGCGTCTGCGGATGAAAAGTGCCAAACTGTCGTTGTGTCCTTAGGCAAGACACTTCATCCACATTAGAATGAGCCTGGTGTGTGTGTGAACGGTTGGTGGTGGTGGGAGGGGCTGATGGCACCTACTGGTTGCCTCACTTCTGTCAGTGTGCCCCAGGGCAGCGGCGTAAATGATTAATGACATGTGAAGCGTTTTTGAGTTTCCAAAAAGCACTATATAAAACACATGAATAAGTTCATCTGCTCTTCAGCCCCTTCCACTACTATTACCACATTATTGGTATCTTTACATTTGAATTCAATAATAGGGCTTAACCAATATTGAAATCAATCTCACTTGTTGGCACAGAACTTAACATCTTGGACGGAGATTGTTGTGATTCATGAAACTGTAACGGGTCACAAACCTATAGGCCGTACTACTATTACTACTCGTACTTGCAATAATATATATATTTTTTGTAGGTACGAGCGCTGGAGACGAGCTTTTCCAAAAACCCAGACCCACCCAACGAGGAGGTGGACCGGCTCCGCTCCGCCACCAAAATGACCCGCCGCGAGATCCACGGCTGGTTCACGGAGCGGAGAAAACGGGAGGCGGCCGAGAAGAAGAGGAAGGACGAGGAGCGAGCCGTACGGGAAGAGGAGGAGGAGGAGAACCAGGAAGAGGGCGAAGACGAGGACAAGCCCAAAGTCAACCCCATCAAAATCAACCTGAAGATGCTGAAAGTGACCGAAGCGAAACAAGAGGGCGATGCGTCCGTCAACCCTCCTTCTTCACATCTGCAAAACACGCCGTCGTCATCGCCAGCGCCTACAACAGCAACGGCGAAAAACACGACTCCCAAATCGCTGGTGTCTCCCAAACCGACGGCTTACCGAGGCAAGAAGACTCCGGACCAGCTGCATATGTTGAAACAAGTCTACGCCAAGACGCAGTGGCCCAGCGCGAGCCAGTACGACGAGCTGATCACCAACTCGGGGCTGCCGCGGCCCGAGGTGGTGCGCTGGTTCGGGGACTGCAGATACGTGCAGAAGAACGGGCAGCTGAAGTGGCTGGGGATGTACCAGTGCACCGCTCTGAGGGAGGCGCTGCAGAAGGGGAGAGAGGAGGCCCTGCAGAAGCACCTGGACACACACGGAGCGCTGAAGGAGGCCGAGGTAAGAGGGGTCCAGATAAAGATGAGAAGATTCTTTACACGTCCCACAGTGGGGGATTTCAATAGACACAAAGACTATAGTATAAGTTGATGGTATGTTTTTGTAGCTAGCTGTAAATGATTCAATATTGATTTATCCCCTCTCCCATCTCGCCGTGTGGAGTGAGAGACAAAAAGTACAATTCATACACAAGGCATCTCAAAATTCTGAACAAAACAAGATAGAAAAAAAATCACACAAGGCATTAAAATCATCAATAATCAATTGTAAAGTGATTTCCGAAAGCCGCTATATGAATAAAGATGACTTACTCACCTATATATGTATCTATATCAATCATATTTATATATGTATTAGTGTAAAGTTATATACATATTCTGAAAGCAATAGGAATGTTAAGCTTTTGTCATTGCTGACAAAGATGTGGCTCTACTCCCCACGGGCTTCGATAGCGGCAAAGGACATGGCTAAAGCTAGGCTAAATGCCTCACTAAAGGCAAACTCGGAACCAATCGTTTCAATCTGCAAAAGGCGTTAACAGGTGGGAGGGCCACTTGTTAACGGGGCTCAATGGAGCAATCCAGACCTTGGTGCTAAATTAAATTAGTACGATTGTATGATGAGGCCAGACTTTGCTCAGGCATATGGTGCAGACAAGTTATAAAACAGTAAAAATAAAAATTACTTCTTTCATAGAAAACTTTTAAAATTGTAATATACACATTTACACATAGACATTTATCAGCGCAGGTTATCGATGTGTCCCTTTTAAGTGTCCCTTTCGGTCCACAACTAAACATACTGGAAGCTCGTTGGCTGAATGAGGGTGCTCCTCTCTTTTTTTTTCACTGAAAAAGCTGATCTGAAGATGTGACAAAGGGCAAAAATACATGCAGGTGAAAGCTAGTGATGGAAACAAACTGATTTGAGGAACTAGTTACATAGGATCTTTATTAGAATATTATAATCAATGTTTGAGGTTTCAAAGTGACACACTCTTTGACTTTAAGTATAGATTCTAGCCACAAAACATCACAGGATCTACAGTTATATTGAGACTCTGAGTATGTTTGATATCTTTTAAATGAATCTAAAACTGTGTAATAAGAGAAATAAGTCTACATACCCTTCAGTCCTGCCTTTTATGCAACATTAGCGGAAACATGGAATCAAAGGAATCCGTCGCTCAGGCCGTAGAGGAAATTGGCAATCAGCTGATAATATTTCCTTAAGCAAAAATGTGGCGTCACTCAGAAAGAAAATTGGCAAATAGACAGTGGGCTGTGGCTGTGGTTAGAGGTTCCAGGGGGGGCCATGATTTCTCAGGCTAAAGAGAATATAAATGACTCCAACATGAATGATTCGTTCTACAAATAGTGTAATGTCATGGAAAAGAACCATAGAATGTAGCACAGCAAAGTGGATTTAGGCAAGGGAAGTTTATTTGTATAGCACAGTTCATCTGCAAGTGCTGAACAAAACAAGATGGAAGGCATTAAAATCTGAAATAATCACCTTACATTGAAAGGAAAAAGATAAACCCTAACCCTTCAGTTGTATGCACAGCTTTAACCTGGTTTTGAACTTTGTCAGAGAAGTAGCCTGTCTCACATTTTCAGGAAGACTGTTACAGATTTCAGCTGCATGAATCAGACATTCTGCTTCCCCATTTAGTCCTGACTCTGAGGAGCACAGGGATTGGCCTCCTGCTCGTGCCTAGAGTCCCAGCAGGAGGCCAGTCCCTGTGCTCCTCAGAGTCTGTCATATGGCATTAATGTCACAGATGTACCTTTTGGCCATGGAGAGACTTTTAGCCATTTCAGTCTGGCATGCTCCTCCTGTACTGGAGACCCCACTCTCTTTGGGGAGTGGGGGACAAAGGGCCACAATTGTAAAGCGCTTTGTGACTGTGGTCTGTGAAAGGCGCTATATAAATAAAGATGAGTTACTTCCTTGGAATGTTATGTTATGCCAAGGCTTGTTAGCTTCTTCTAAATATTGTTATGTTCCAGTCATAGTGAGATATTGAGAGATTTGTAAATGCCTTCATCATGTGGCCCACTCTTCCGACCGTGAAAGTAGTTGGTCTGAGAAACTGGCGGTGGCGGTTTCCATGTTGTATGATTGTGTCATTTCTTTTTTTCTGCAGCTCGAGGAGTTGATAGAAGCCAGCGGTCTGAGCGGTGACCTTGTCAAATACTGGTTTTCCCTCAAAGCCGCTCCGCACATGCCCCAAACGGAGACCGCAACGGAGACCGCAACGGAGACCGCAACGGAGACCGCAACGGAGACCGCAACGGAGACCGCAACGGAGACCGCAACGGAGACCGCAACGGAGACCGCAACGGAGACCGCAACGGAGACCGCAACGGAGACCGCAACGGAGACCGCAACGGCGAAGCCCGCAGCACCATCCGACGCCGTGGGGGAGCCTGGATCCACGTCCCCTCCGGAGCCTCAGCCCGGGGCGGGGAACGAGGAGAAGATGGAGCAGTCTGTGTGCGGCGTGTCCAAAACAGACCAATGAGAACAGGCCGGGACATGACCTTTTTTTAAATCGTCAAAACAAAACGATACACAAAACTATGGCTCTTGTGAATGAAGGAGACAGCGGTACATTTAGTGATGAGGCAAAAAGAAAGCTACGCGGTTGATGACCTTCAAAGGCAACTTTTTTGGGGTTCAACTCTGCAGGGCTTTTCTGTGTAGAGTTTGCATGTTCTCCCCATGTCTGGATATGGCTCGTGTAAAATAGGCTCCTCCCACTGGGGTATGAGCCTCACTGGGACTCTACTGGAACACGATTAATCAATAACACATCTGGACGTAAATGTCTGCGTCCGGACAAATGATTACATCTCCTTGATATGTCGTTTGTTTCTGAATACATGTTAGTTGGAATGATCATTAGAATCAAGATTTATGACTGTAATATTTTCTAACTGCTAAATAATTGAAAATAAAGTAGAATTATATTGTGCCTAAGGCGATATCAAGTGCTGCTGTGACTTTTAAGGCGGAATTGGAAAGATAAGTCTCTCATTTCACCTGGTTTCTGTTGCTTTGATTTCCTCATATTGGGTGAGAACTTGTCACTTTGATAAAAGTGCATTGATCTTGTTTACACTGCAAAAATGTAAAAATATGAGGTAATAATGGCTTTTTAATCTAAATTTGATTACATTCTGAAAGGCTTAACACAAGATTTGCCAATGGGACAAAGCCATTTAGTCTCATTTCAAGAATTTTGCTTCTCTAAACGGTATATCCTGTTTTAAGCCAGTCATAATGTTCTCAAATTAAGATACATTTTTGCCAAATTTGAGCAATTTCTGACATATTTTGCATCTTTTTGCAGTGTAGTTTGTTTGTAGAGGGAGAAACATTGTGGTACTGTACAGCTGTGGGCCGGGATGCTCGCCTTAACGTCAACATTTTTGTCCATTTGTTGTTGTTTTGCACTCAATCACTTTGGAGCCGGCTTCATCCTTCTCTGAACGCTTTTCTGCTTCATTCGACACACATTCTTCAAAGATGTACATATTTTTTGCTAAAGATTATAAGTGTTTGTGGCTGAATATATTTTCATCCAAAGAACGCAAGCATTCGTTGTGTGTCCGAGAAGAACTGACTTGTACTATGTGTGTGTATGTTTGTGCTGCTCGGCCTCGATGATGGAAACAAACTAAAACATTTTTATGGAACTTTTTAGATCATTTTGTGAAGTTTGTTCTGGCAAGCTCCACACTGAGGCGTAATGTCATTTTTACAACACTATTTGCTAAATAAAACAACTTGTAATACAACACATCTGACTCAAACTGGTCATTTAGTTTTTTGCCGATTCAAAGTTTTGTTTTTTTAATGGGGAAAAAATACAAATAATTGTTAAAGCTGGTGGTTTCTAACTTTACTCTAACTTCAATATCACTGGTTTGTCCCAACAGAGAATCTTACCTTTCATATATTTGTAAAAAAGAGCCCTGTGAGTCATTATTTGCCGCTTTGGGTTGAGAGCTGATTGGCTGAATGAGGGTGGTCCTATAGTTAGATGTAATTTACAATTTTCGAATTTAGACTTATAAGACAAAACAAAGTGATTTATTGATTTGTGATGTTATACTAATGCATTGGTTATATAAAGTGCTTTCAACATGGTTTGTGTAACTTACTGAATTGTGTTAGGGCAGCACGGTGGCTGAGTGGGTAGCACTCTCGCTTCTCAGCAAGAAGTTTGAATTCTGTTCTGAACAGGGCCTTCCTGAGTGGAGATTGCATGTTCTCCACATGTCTGTGTGGATTTCCTCCGTACTCCGGTTTCCCCTACCACTAAAAACATGTGCAATATTTCAGGGTGAATGAGTGTGTTTGTGAGTGTAAATATGGGACAACAGATGCAAATTATTCCATGGCTACAATCCGGAGTGATGTGTTCATTAACATGTACTGTCCCAACCAAATAGATAATTTTTATAGAAACTTATAACGGATGTGTAAGATGACTATTTCATTAAAATTGACTTTTTATTGTAATATATTCAAATTAATTTCTATTGAAATTGTCAGAAATAGCATGTAAATAAGCAAATCATTCAAGAGGGAGTCAGAGTACAGTAACTTCCTCCTCCTCCTTTTGAGCATCATTCCAAGTGTACTCCTTTAATGTAATGTCCTGCATATCTTTGTTCTAGTAGTTCATTCCTACTGTTCTGTATTCGGATGCAACACTGAAATTTCCCCACTGTGATAAACTGATATCACTGATAAATGAATCACGCTAGGTATAAATTGAATTAAAATCTCTAGTTTTAGCTTAATGAAGAAACAAGCATCAAATCTTTAGAATAATGAAGAAGTAAGACCACCAACACCAAAATAAAACATCTACTCTTTTTGAAGTATAAATGTGGCCAGTATGTTTCTCTTAATAGTCACAAAATGGCGTCTTGGCAAGAGCTCTGGTGTGTGCTGTCCTCTCTGTCTGGTAGTCTTGCATATCTTTTCCAATGTGGTTTTACTGCAAATAGCAAATAAATTCTTGTATTTATGCAATTAAAAGTATTTTTTTTTTTTTTTCTGATCAGAAAAGGCAACGCACGATCTTGTGTCTGGTGGTATAGAAGCTGTAGTGGATGTAATTTAAAGCCAAAATCTTACATCTATTTTCTTGATTCTATGATTAGTAAACACGTTTCACACATAAACAAACAATGAGAGCCAGACACAGACCTTAAATCTGTAATTATTTTTTATTTACTTTTAGGATTGAATATGTTTTATATGAAAGGCAAAATTATAATGAGTACATTTTCTCTCCAGAGTTTTAGGCACATTACACAAAGGCATTGGTAAAATCAGACGTTTGGAAACAGAGACAAGGCTCTGCTCGCCAACACAAAAGTCCTCAGAAGTCGTTGTCCGTCTGCAGACTGGACGCTCCGATAATCAGACCAGTTTTTCAAATACGGGACTTTAACCGTGACGCGTTAAGACGGTGAAAGCACAAACGTTAGCAGTAGAAGACGCAGCTTTGGAGGGAGAGCTTTCAGAGTTCAAAATGACATTGGGTTTTGGGTGAGGACCTGCATATTCTCTCCCTTCCCTGCTGCTTTTCATCACGTTTACACTGTATGGCTTTGTCCCAGTGTTTGGTTGAGCACTGAGCGAGAATACTGAATTTTACATATCTTTCCATCAAAACTCTCTACAAAGACACATCGAACCTCAGCTCCACACGCAACAACAGAAGGCCAGGTTCAGTACGAGAGCGGACAGTAACTAAACCTCCGTCTGAAGTTTGACCAGAACTATACTTGGATCACACAGAGCGTCAGCAGACAACGACGATGACCCAGGGGTGAAACTAATGTGTATTTTTGGCTGTTTTAGTTGCTGTAAAACGCATATTAATATATTTTTTCAAAATGATGAATGCCTCTATGATAATATGTGAAATAAGTATGTACATGTTCAGGCTTGTGGATTACATTCAAAAACATTAAATCTATTTATTATCATATGCAATCTAAAACCTTTGGGTTAGTCCCTGATTCTCAGCACAGCTTTGTTAAACCATCGTGATCTGAAGGTGCGAGACGTGAAGGCGCCTGCGGAGCACGGAATGATGCTGTCTGCAGGAATGTGCAGCCGAACATGAGACTCTGGCTGCGGCACAGACACGGACCAGAGGCACAAAGGAAAGAATAAACAATGTACTGAGCCCTCGTGTTTTACACATATACATAAAAGTCACATTAAGAATGTTTAAAAGTTTAAATAATTAGAATATTAAAACAGAGAACGGAGCTCTTTCAGAGCAGTGAAGCTGCTACTGTTCTCTGGACAACAGCACAGCAGAATAAATACAGTACATACTTATATATTCAGCTAAACATGAGAATGAAAACGAACAGAAACGTCTCTCTTCCTCCAGAGGAGCTGATGTGCAGGGCTTTGACAGGTCCTTCCCCCACGACACCAGAGCTTTCACTCTTGTCCTGTAAACACCAGTCACTTGTTCCTGTTCAGGACGTCCCAGCGCGGCTCATGGTGGAAGTCTGGAAATGAGAGCTGCCTGAAATGTAGGCCAAAGCAATGGTGGCCATTTCCATGGAAACAGTGTTCACAGCAGTCAGTGACATCATCAGTACAGGCCTCATCCTGATTGGACTCAGACGCGGTTTTCCCCGCCCACTCGGGGCCCACGCAGCATCCGACTGCAGACACAAAGAAGCTCAGCACCAGTGAACACTGTGACCATGTGATGCTAGGACACACACCTCCTGTTCTGCGAGTCCATGTGCTCCAGCAGCGACTGCTGCGACAGCCGGAAGTCGTCCAGAGGAGACTGGTAGCGAGAGTCGAAGGAGCCCTCTCTGCCCCTGAAGCCCATGGCCTGGGCCTGAGCGGGGGACTGAGGCACCGCAGACACAGAGGAGAGCGACGACACAGACCCAAACTCCCCCAAACGCTCTCGTCCAGCGTGAGACGTCAGAGACACGGGGGACGAGCCAGCAGGAAGGAAGGGGCTCAGGACCTCTCCATTCTCATCCTACAAGAAAAGATTGATACATGAATGATCCATTCTCCTCCTACACAAGAAAGGACTGACACATGAAGGATTCTAATCCTGCCATATCTGTGCAGTTTTAACAGAAACAGTTGGTGATCAATGGAATCAAAGGTTTTGCACAAATCTCTGAATACCCCGAACCAGCTGTCTGTGCGGATCAGTCGATTACTGTGATCTGAATCTGGATCCTTTTTCACTAATTATTTTATGTTTATATAGATAGATAGATACTTTATTGATCCCCGCAGTAGAAATTCAGGTGTCCAGTAGCAGCAAAAATAAAATTGATCATTCTAAAAAGCTAATAATAGTATTAATCAGCCACAGACCACAGGCACATACAAACAATTTGTGAACTTTTGTGCAAACAATTTTTCTAGAATTTGGGAACTGTGAGAGAAGTGACACTGGTCTGTAGTGGTTGGAACTGTGCTTTTCACAAATGTTTGAAAAGAGGAATGACTTTAGCAGTGTTCACTCAGTTTATAAAGATAAATTACAAATAAAAAGGTTTTACAAAACATCAGGCTCTCCATGACCTGCACCATGACTCAAACCGCTTGTGTTGCAGTGTTTCTCGCACCCATGAAAGCACCAGAAATTGAGAAAAAAAAGTTTCCCGGTTCAACAATCCCCGGGCCACAGCCGCCATTACGCACCTGTTACATGCATGTGTTGGATCCATTCCACACTTGATACATGCCTGATCGGCTTCATCTGTTTAGTTAGTTCCCCCAATGCACCTCGGTTAGGAATAGAATAAATCATGACAACTAGTGCCCTCGCCTCAGATAACAGAAGAAAAGCAGGCACCACCACCAGGCCACACCAGGCCACACCAGGCCACACCAGGCCACACCAGAACACACCAGAACACATCAGACCACATCAGACCACATCAGTCCCATTCCCAGCGTTTTCAATCACCACAAAACACAAACACTGGTCTTACCCTGCCCCTGGAGATGTCCACGTGGACCAGAAGAGAGGCCAGCTCCAGATCCTCATTGAAGCTGTTTTTGAGAGGAACCGACCGATAACCTGCAGCCACATTACATTTTGTGTTATTACATTTGCAAACACCACACAATAACACACAACGTTGATGGACATTTATCACCATTTATGGACATTGGTCATCTGCTCCTTATGGACCAATGGCTCTGTGTTTTTTTATCATTGCATTTCTTGTGCTTGATTCTCTGATCTGTGTTGGCCAATTCAACAGTTTTGTAAAGTCCTCAGAGATAACTTCTGTTGTGATTTAAGGTTATACAAGAATACATTGAATTAAAGTACCTACTGCTGATTAAAGCCCCGTTTAGACGGAGATGCTGCAAAGCAATTCGCAAAAACAACCAGGCTCCTGCACAACGTTTACATGAGAACTTGTTCCAGCGCCCGGCCAGTAGGGGGCAACAACAACATACTCCTCAGGCCACGGCAAAGACATGAATGAATGCACCAATCATCATCAATCATTCTGCATTTAACATCAGCTACAAAAATGGAAACTGAATCAACAGCTTTGCGTGCTTTAGTTTGGATAAAGGAGTAGAATTCTCCTCCTTGTAGCGCTTGAAGCACACGTTAGCATTAGTGTACCCGACGCCATTGTTGTTTACGTTTGTTCTCGACTACTGCGCATGTCGAAATGTACGTGTAGGGAAATGGTGAGATCACAGGAGGCAGAGAATTCACACATTTTCTTCATGCGGCTGTGAAACATCCCCCGCTGAGCAGCGTATCTGTTCTGTTCCACTCTGGAGGCTGATTTCAAGCGCTTGCATTTTCACCCCCTTGAAACACTGTCTTCATGTAGACAAAAGGCCAATCCGAAACCCAACTCTAACCTTTTACTGTCGCAGCGACCTTGTTATGTGTAAGCAGCACCTTAGTGATCAGGTTCTATTCTATTATGATTTTTTATTAGGAGTAGCTCTCCGTCTCTTCTGTTATATAAAAATATCTCTCCGACTGATAAAGGTTGGGGACCCCTGCTCTTGGGTAGAGTAAATGACCCTAGAGCAAACCCTCTGAACTGGCTACTACCACAACATGAATGCATTCACTAATTTCCCTCAAAACAGTATTAATTCTATGTATTACTTGTTTCTTCCAATACTAGAAAAATGTGCTAAGACTTTGAAAACAGCCACTATAGAAAAGCAGACCTGTCTTCAGACTTTGAATGGGGAATGTTGCCTGAGCCAGGAAGTTTTGGTCGTTGAACATGTCGATTTCATAGACAACGAAGCGCAGATAGGCGAAGTCGGAATTGCACACAGTGAACTGGAAAGGCTTTCTGGGCCACGTGGGGTTCAGGCCGTTGTCCGCTGCAGAGGAGAGCAAAGGTCTGTTAGTGTGATATGCCACGTGCCCTCCAAGTCATTCTCTAAATCACAAGAATACATTCTCATAACTCAGTCACCGTGTTTGTGGGGGCAGAGAATAAAGACTAGGGTTAACAAACAGACCTCTCTTGTCTCAGTAAACATACACACTCAGACCTCTCTTGTCTCAGTATACAGTTTTGGAAAGCTTGTTTTGCTACGTTGCTTTCACTCCACATAGCAAAACCTGAACAATGACAATGACAAACTTTCTGTGGTGAAGAGACTGTCTATAGCATTGCAATGATCACAATGAGGAAGTGCCCTACATACATCCAAATACAATATGTCTTGTAATTGCTTTTACATAGTTACAGAGTCTTCCGGAAAATGTGAGACAGGCGTCTACTCTCAATTTTCAAATCCAGGTTAAAAACAGTTTTATCTTGTTTTGCTGTGCACTTTGAGTTGCCCTGTGTTTGAACTGTGCTTTTCAAAACAAATTAGCCACAAGGCAAAAATACAGATTACAAAAAGTCCTGACCACATCGGATTGAGACACCTCAAAGGGCCAGGAAGTTAAATGCAAGTTCACATCTAGTTAAATCAGACAGGGCCAGTTATCCGATGATTTCTGCTCCATAACAGCCACTGTGTTGGCTGTCAAGCATTTGCTCGATTTAAAGCTGGGCTACATCCCATGAATAATACATTTTGTTTGTCACAACTTGAATAATATTGTAAAATTAAAATGTTGTGAACAGATCAGATCACAACCTGCCATCTTCATTCTTCAAGAGCCCTGTGAGTCACTTTTTAACGCTTTGGCCTGCTCTTTCTCACTTTTCTGTCTTAAAAAGCTGATCTAAAGAAATAATAAGAATTAATAAGGAGAATAAAATAAATACATGTGAAACCTAAAGTGATTGAAGCAAGAAGCAAAGTGTTTTGAGAGAGCGAGGAACTAGTCACACAGATTTGATTACATAGTTCTAGTGGTTTGAAAGCTAGGTACCCCAGCTTTAAGACAATGCATCAACATAGCCAAGCCTTACCTTCAGAGTCCGTTTTTTGCTTGGCACTGTCGTACTCCGCTCCACACACCTCGATCTCTATCAGTGGACACACAATCCCTCGTCCGTGTTTTGGCAAATGTCGAGCTCCCAAAACCTTGAATCAAAATGACGTTCATAGCATGTATTTAACAGTTTAACAGTTTTAACAGTTTAACAATTTAACAGTGTGAATGAGAATTTTGGTTTAAAAAAACTATAAAATAATTTCAGTAATAAAAGGTTAAATTTTGTCTTGTGCATTTAATTATCTTTAGTACATCTCAAATCAGTGAAGTATTTGACAGGGACATTGCACAATAAATGGATTGTTCAGACTGGACATAGCTACAAACTAATTTTCATCCGTAGTCCCTGCGCAGAGGCAAAGTGACAGCAGGTTTACAGTGTGCAAAGAAATAATAAACAGAATGGCCAAGGTAGCATTTCAAATTCAGGTAAAATACAATGGTCTAGTTTTACTATGAACAGCCAAAACCTCACACATTACTTAGTGCGTTATTGATTTAAAACATGATATGAAAAGTTACCTCTATTTGCAGAGACATTGGCTCCACGGTCCGCAGCGTGTGTCTGTCAAAGGGATCAAAGGTGTCGTCTCTCATGATTGCCGGCTGGAGCACATATCCACATCTGCCGTTCAACATGAACAAGGCCTGGTTCATCTGCATCGGTTTGTCTGCAGACATAATCGATTACAATGAAAGACTCACTACCACTGCACAAAACCACATGGATTTCAAACAAAAACGCCCAGAGCGCCCTATTCTTACACGCTGAGCGACACTGGCTTTTCCCCCGCCTCCCGAACAAGCCTTGTTCACCGAGACGTGTGCAGTGGGACCAGGAGAGCCCCACTGAGATTTGTAAATCTCTTTTTCAGGAAGGTCCTGGGACCAGAGAGGAGTGGGGTCGGGGAGGGTATTAGGAGGGACTATTGAATATGTTATAAATGATAAGAGGAAACCGGAGCGCCTGGAGGAAACCTATGCAGAAACTGGGAAAAGCACAAGCGCTAACCACTGCGCCACATGGACGACAAACATTCTGTAGTGCATTAAAATGTGATTCCCTGCTCTGCACTGCGACTTCAGACAAAAATCCTCACTGTGTTGAGTCAGCACACCCTTTATACACTGCTCACATATTATGTGGCCAGTGGGGTTAGGTGGTTAAAAGTACCAAAATTAACTTGCTAAACAAAAAAAATGTTATATGAAATTTGAAATTGTTCACAGACGCTGGTCACAAAAATAAAAAGTATTGAATGTAGCTAACGGTTTACAGTAAGTGAAATGGCCCGTCGACCCGGGATAATGTTAGGTTAGCAAGTTTTCTCCACAGGGAATAGAGGAACGTGTCAAAAATGAAAGGGTGAAAACAAATATATGACTTTCAAAATAATCTTCTCAAAATAATAATAATTTACAGAGCACAATTGCAAAATAATAGACTAGGGCTACTTTGTCATCCATGTGGAAGAATATAAACAATTTCAAACATATTTCTTACAAGGACAACTTTATCAAAGGAAAAAGCAAGAGTGTCCAACAGCCCAAACTTTGATGATCAAAGCTTCACTCTTGTTAAGCTGTCATGATGGAAAAGTATTGTGTCTTGTGTGTAGCTTTTTAACCTTCTTCCCCTGAGACACATGTCAGCAAGAGGCTGAAATAGCTAGTGTTTTTGTTCAGTGTGAATGTGGCCATTGGCCGTGTCTGAACAAAGATTTTAGTAACGAGAAATATTCATGGACAAACCTGCAGTCTGGAAGTTGAGCGCCACCAGCTGAGAACCGCAGAGCCACATGGGCAGCGGGTCGTAGTTGGACGAGTCGAGTCTTTGGCCTCGAGGGTAAATCCGGGACAGTTGTAAACGATTGTACTGCAAAAACTTCTTCCCCTTGATTTTGTTGACATATTTCTCAGCCTTTGTTTCAGGGAAGGAGGACATGTCTCGGAAACAGGCTCGCTCCGTGCCTATCTCTGCAGAGAAAAGAGAATGAGACACAGAACGGAAAGGGTCCCCAAAGAAAGACAAAGATTTTATTCAATTTTGTAAATTCAATGCATGTTATCGGACCGTGTTGTGAACATCGTACGTGCCAAATAAATGATTTATATCTGTAGAAATGTTATAAGCAGGGATGCTATTTCAAAGTGTCTTAAGGTGCTCTTACTATGAAGAGTTTAATACAAAATCATATTTAAAGCATATAGATGGATAAAGAGATAAAAGCTTGTGGGTAAAAAAAAAAAAAAAAAAAAAAACATTTTTATATCATAAATAAATCATAAATCAGACCACATACAATCTTCATCCTATTCGAAAACACAATCTTCTGCATCCCTGTGAGTGACTATTTGACATTGTGGGTGAGAGCTGGTAGGCTGAGTCAGGATGGTCCTCTCTTTGCTGACTGAAAAAGCTGAACTCAAGTTGTGACTGAGGCCAAAAAATACATGCATGTGAAAACTAGTGATAGAACCAAGCTCTTTTGAGAAAGCTTTGCGGAACCAGTTTTTAATTATATAGTAGAAAGTATTGAGTAATCTTTATCTATATAGTGCATTTCACAGACAAAAGTCAACCAAATCGCTTCATTTCTGTGGTTTGAAACTAGGAACCCCCAGCTTCAAGTTTTCCATGGATCATAAATGCTTACTGTCTTCATCAAAAGGCACAGGTCTGCAGTAAATGACCAGGTCAGAAAGTTCCAGTGCAATCTTCTTCCTTCTTTCCATCATCTTCCCCTCCTCCAACTAAAGACAAACATCAAACAATGAACCGTTGCCAAAACAAACGGCACATAAAGTCTCTCTAAACATGTGTTGCATTTACCTTGGCCTCCGAGGTCATGGCCACCTCCCGGATCTTCAGGACCCACTGAGTGAGTTCTTCTTGGCTGTTGGCGGCAACGTCCAGCACTGGGCCCTGTCTCATGGAGGGATTGGGAGCCAGGGAGAAGACGTGCAAGCGGCTGCCTTTGCCTTCAGGCCGGATCGCTGGAAAAGAAAAACCATACATGAATGATAGGTCAACATATTTAATAACCACACACAGACACACATATGTGAAACTCAGAAAATTATTAAATTTACATTAACATTTACACACACACATGTGAAACAAATATTCTAATTTTCTGAGACGTTTTATTTGGGGGTTTCCACAAGCTGTGAGCAAACAAAACACATTTTTACTGTGGACACAAAACCACTAGGTGGAGCCAAAAGCATGGACATTAATTAAGAACTATTCTCTACACAAGAGTTAGTGAGGGTCTCAAAGTTGGTCATCTGCATGTTTTTGCACTCATGGCATTTTATCCTTTCTTAGTTAATGCTGGGTACTCAAGTTTTTTCTTTATTAATGAAAAAATGTGATTTTAAAAGTAAAATGTAGTGAACAAATCAGACCACATCATGCGGTTACCTTTGTTACCTGTTTTTGCATATTTTTGGGATATTAAAAAAAAAATGAAGAGGCCTGTGAGTCACTATTTGACTCTTTAGGCTGAGAGCTGATAGACTGAGTGAGAAAGGGCCTCACTTTTTTACTTTTCAAAAGAAAGGCCAAAAATAAATACTTTTTTAGTAGTTTCAATAGTTTTGAAAGCGAATAATGAATGTCACCAATTTTCTAGCACCATAAATTTTTTGTGGTTGAAAATTAGATACGCTCACGGACAGATTTTGAGATGCCACTTAGCAGATGATTATGAAGCTCCACTGGACTTTTTTCCCCAATTTTATTAGACTTAAACTTCTTCTCAGAAATCACTATACCACCACTTTTCCCTAAAGAAGAAACACATGTTGACAAACCCAGAACAAGTGTGTGTGTTTAGGGGAGTGTAGGGCAACTTACCAATGTGACAGGATGACACGTCCACACTTCCTCTGAGCAGATCTCCCAGGGGGCTGTTTTCGGTGACCTCCTGCTACAGAAGAATAGAGTAACGCACTTTTCTTTTCAAACACACGTCTAATTCATTATTTATCTTACAACTCTGTCTGGCTCCGCGGTCGTCGGTTCCTCCACATAGTTGGCAGGAAACCACAGCTGCTTCTTGCCTCCGCAGTCACCTTTCCACCTGAGAGAAGAGAAATGTGCTCAAACGATAACGAAGTCTTGTAGTTTTAGGAGCGGTTAAGATGGAGACGCTGTGATAGTAAGTTAAAGTGGTTCTCACCCCCGCTCCTCGGGGCTTACGTTACTCACATTTCCTGTTCAAATCTTCCTCTAAATGGGCGTAGCCTGGAGGACTAAAGGGGGCGTGAACGAGACTGGGCCGTTTACATTGCTCTGGGCGGGGGGTTGCTGACGTCAGGTCTTGCTTCAAACGTCAGGTCTTGCTGCCGCGCCAGTGTTGGCGCCAGATTCAAAATTCAAATGTAGTAATACAGGTCGCCAGCAGATGGCGCCTCACAGACGGTTTTAGGCAGAAAGTTTAACTTTCAACTAATTTGCACCAAAGTGACAAGATTATGACCAGGATATGAGACAACACTATTGGACACTCATTTATACCGTTTATCAGCAAAAAAAAGTGGATTTGAGGGTGAGTTGTCCTTTAACTAACGGATTGGCCTTTTGTTCACACGGCGTCAGAGTTTCAAGGGGATGAAGATGCAAGCTTTAAAAAATGGCCTCATGATTAAATGGCCACACAAAACGGCTGTGCAAAACGGCTGTGCAAAACGGCTGTGCAAAACGGCGGTGGGCATATCAAATCAATAAGCCCAGATTGTATGCATGTGTGTGTGAATGTGTTTAGTGGAGGTTGTTAATGTACATGATCCTTTTGAACGGTATGTCATTATTTCCTGTGTTTTGAGTTAAGTATATGTTTTGTAATGTCTACAATTGTTAATAATCGCGTTGAAAAGTTCCACTGCCTACTACTGGTGCTAAAACTACATTGCTTTCTCTCGCTGTGTAGACGCTTTGCACTTTAAATTGGGAGTGGGGTCATTTCAAGATTCAAGAATTTATATGCCATTTGCAGTAAAACCGCATTGGAAAAACCGAGCAAGACTACCCCAGTGTGCAACAGGATAGCACACACCAGAGCCACAAGGGCAGTTTTCCAGCGCCATGCGAATTTTGCGAATTGCTCAGCTGCGTTGCCTTTTAAACAGGGCCTCAACCTCAAACATGTGAAGAGCAGGGCATTACCAGCCTCCTTCCTGTTTGTCCACGTTGGTGATGATGGCATTCTTCACGAAGGAGAGTTCGTCATCTCTCTGAGCTTTATACTCGTACATAGCTCGAACCGTGCACTAAAGAAACAAAAGTACAATATTAGATTTCTATCAAAATCATCAACAAAGTCCCAAATAACTTACTTTGAAAGTCGGCATTGGATTGGCCTCAACATAGAACCCAGGGTTTCTCCCCTCGTACAGCGACCCGTAGTCAGGCTCCTAAAGATACAATTCAACATGAGATCTCAAGCACTCAAAAAACTTAAAACAGAATTTTGCACTTTTTGGACTACAAGGCGCACCTGTATATGAGCAACATCCTTTCTCCACCTACAGGCCGCACTTGAATAAAAGCCACTAGTTTTCATATTGTTACGTAACAGAGATGCCATTCACCTTAATCTATTTTGACGATAAACGGGTGTTTATAGCTACTAAAAATATAAAGAGTCAAAATAACTATACCACAATAAAAATATGTTTACTAGTTGCTAGTCACTTTACCTGCTATAGTATTACTACATTATTACATATTCCATTCATCTGATATTTCACTAGTGCCATTACCTTTTTGCGACTGATATTATTGTTTATTCCGGTCAAATTTACTGTGGCTTATAGTCTGGAAATTATATATAGAATAATATAATAATAATAAGATCCTGTCTTTTTGCACACCCTGAGTGATCCTATTTGTGACAAATGTAGGATGTACATTGCTCCATTGTGAGATCAATACGTTTTATCTTATCTTAATAATGTCACGTTACTCACAGCTGTGCCTATCTTTTCCAGTGTGTCCTCGTTAATTGGATAGCGGAGCTTCATCTTGCGATAGAGCGGATGTTTCTCAAAGTAGCTGATGAGGTCCACGAGGCTGTCGAACTCAGAGGTTCCCAGCACCACGTTCTGCCCCTCCTGCTGCACGCGACAGTGCTTTATCTTCCCCTCCGCTCTGCACAGGCCACACAACAGTCAGACTCACGTTTGTACTCTACTCTTACTTACTGCAGCCATTTTACCTGAAGGATATGGCAAAGGAGTTCGGCTCTGCTCTTTTTCTCACGAGAAAGGCGCCGTCGCGTGGGACCCTCATCAGCATGTTCTCAGCCTGGCTCCTCGACAGGTTGGCGTGGTACCACCTACAGAAACATCAGCGCTATTATCTATCTATCTTTGGATCTATCTTTGTATTTATCGATGTATCTATTCTTGTATCTATCTATATCTATGCATCTATCAATCAATCTATAGCTGTAAACCAGGCATGTCCAACTTTAGTACCACCTGAAATGATTTTCATTTGATTATTTTCACAGTAACTTGTAGCATTGATGGTAATAAAGCCTATTGTCTCAGGAAAACAACCATAGACTATGCTCTAAAATGCTAACAACACTGTAATTAGAAGTATCTAATATGTATACTATTCTTAATATTTGAAAAGACTAAAAACAATTTATTTGTCTAAAGACGATAATATGTATTTTAAAAAATCCCAAAAACCCAAACAAAAAAACAAATAATATCATCTCTTATGTTTTTAAATGTTGCCCCCGACCAGAGTGAGTTTGACATCCCTGTTTTAAACCATTTTCTATATAAATTACACAACCAGGAGGGAGGTTTTTGCCCTTAAATATAGATATGTATAAATTAAAGATTGTCTGCACCCACTCTTTGCTCTCGTGGGCATTGGTTTGTGGCACTGGCTCAGTCAGTTTCATCTCAAACTCATTGCAGCGTAGCGCCACCAGTTGGTAGTGGCCGATGAGTGCATAGAGGGTGTCAAACACCAGATTGTCTGTTAGGTAGAACTTTGGGGAACCAGCTTCTTGTCTCGAGTGGATTCGACAGTGTTGTACCCGTCCTGAGCGCCTGTAGGAAAAAAAAATTCTGTTTAGCTATAATTATTGATATATATCACATTCACCCTTCACAGCAGTATTTGACAACAACATATAAAATCAATATTTTGATGTTGACAAATATTGATGTACTTCAGCTCCACATACATCAGGCCAACTGTAGTTAACTAATTCTGTGGCCATTTGTCTCTCACTACACACGGAGATGGAAGTGGAGTCACCATACAGGAGGTGCATACCAGACCTATTCTACATGTTTTTTGCGGTAGGGGAAACCGGAGCACCTCGAGAAAACCCACGCAGACGCAGGGAGAACATGCAACATGCGTTTTGTGTTGCCTTGTGTAGGAAAGGCACTCTACAAATGAAAGTTGATTGATTGATTGATTGATTTAAAACCTCATGCCCGTTCCAGAAGTATTGTCAACACTAAGGTCTCACCAGAATGACAGCGTGTAGTCCCCCACAAACGTCTCACTCTCCCGAACCAGGAAGGAGCCGTCTGGGGCGCCAGTCTCCAGACAGTACTCCGACAAAAGTCGCTCCGCGATCTGGCGCCCGTCACGACCAGCCCCGAGTTTACCGTGGAACCATTTCTCTGTCACATGTTGGTCAACTCCATTTGACACCTGACACAAACACTCATGTTGAACCAATGTACTTACATTAGAATTACAGGTTACAGATTGAAATCATTTAAGTAGTTAAACAAAATTTAGGAAAGGGTAACTAGAAAGTGCGACACTGCCATTTTGTGGGTGGAGTTAGAATAACATAGGGCTAGATTTAAGATCTAAATCCTATATCAAGGAGGTAAGCTAATTCAGTAGGAATTTGACTGGAGAATTTGAAAATGATTTTGTTTAAAAAGAGACAGAAAAAAACCTCCTTAAAAGTATATAGGAGGATTTTCTTTTTCAAAGGTTGGGCTTCCCACTGATGCTCCATCCATCCATCAACCCACAACCCCCAACTGAGCTACTGTTGCCCCACACTGATGCTTCAGTCGCAAACAAATCAGACCACATCATGATTTCTTTAACTTATTAGAAAACATGTTATCCTTTGAATACATGTTGAGAACTAGTGATTGAACTAAACTGTTTAAAGAGGTGACATACATTTTATTAAATAGTTCCCTTGATAGTGGTTTGAAAGTATCTTTGAGTTTTTGCTTTTAGAACTCCTTTAATATTTTTATTAAATAAATAAAATAAAAATAAAAATAAAAATAAAAAAATAAATAAAATTAAATGAAAAAAGATAGTATAATAATAAACAAATAAAATGAGTATTAGTTTATTGAGAATGTGCGGACCTCCCTGTGCTCCTCCTCATCGTCATTTCCTTGATTATTGGTGGTTTCTTCGGAGTAGTAGATTTTGCTGTTTGTCAGGACAAAGAAATGCGGGTACCACTCCTGCAGGACAAAACACAGATTCATAAACACACAGATGAGCTACGAGAGGGTTGATCTACAGTGACGTTTGTAAATCGTAGTTGTTGCTCTCTCTCACATGATTAATGGGGTCCTCCAGATACAAGATGCCATTTTTGATAGAGTTACTGATGTCGTTCTCAGAGTATGGGGTGGAAGTGGACACCTCCTCGTAAGCGCTGCCCTCTGCGAGTTTCTTATGCTGAAACGGGAGGATTTAAAACAATGAAATGTCATTAAAAAGAAAGTGAAATATAAAAGGAGTAGAGACTAGATTAGAGCCTCATTTCCACTGGGCAATATGGCGGACCGTGGCTGCCAAAACAATAAATATATACAGAAATAAATACATAAATTAAAAAAATATAAAATTTGCAAAGAAATGCATGAAATTATGAGAATAAGTGCATTTATTTCTGTATGTATTTATTTATATATTTATTTATTTCTGTATTTATTTTTGTATTTATTCATACATTTATTTCTGCATTTATTTCTCTATTTCTGTATTTATTTTTGTATTTATTTATTTTTGCATTTATTTATGTATTTCTCGATTTATTTATGCATTTATTTATTTATTTCTCTATTTATTTATTTCTCTATTTATTTTTTTCTCTATTTATTTTTTTATTTATTTATTTATTTCTCTATTTATTTCTGTATTTATTTCCGTATTTCTCTTAATGATATGCAAATCATGGGGTGGGCCGGGATGCCTCTGCTGTAAGCTCATTGGTTAACCTTTTTCCTTGCTCCATAGCTTGTCCAGCATAGGCGGTCATGTTGAGATCACTGTGTTCTGCCATCCAGTGCCATCCAGCCAACTTCAGCTTCACCAATACATGTTGAACCTCGTAAAGCTCAGGACCATTGCAATCCAGTAATTAACTTTATTCATATTTACTTTCATTTGTTTTAGATTTTTTGATTGTATCACAAAATTATGTCTATGATACTAATGCACCTGGTGAGAAAGTAAACGTCATTCTGCCAAATTCAGCTCAGTCAAATGTCAATCAATGAGTACATGTCATAGAATCTAATGTCATGCATCATCTTTAATGCTCATAGTTTTACAATCCGGGTTGTCGGCCCCTTACGAATTCTGTTGAACTAAATTGGCTCTTTTTGAAACACCCAGAGTAATCCTATCTATGCCTATCGATGTAAATTTCTCCACTGAGAGTACAATAATGTTTCATCTTATCAGGTTTGGACACTCCTGTATTAGACAAAAAAAAGAAACACAATAAAAAATGACACAAAAATACCCCAAAAGGAGGAGGCATTGCAGCTACTATTTGTTCACATTCCGGTTTCAATGCATAATAAATAAGTAATAAAGAGTAATTAGTAGATAAAGTGACATTCAGTGGACATTCTGAAGTAACAGTATTGCACATTGCACATGAATAAAGGGAAGAAAATGGATGGATGGACATGATTGCAGTATTTACTTATTTATAGATAAATTACATGTACTGGATTTACAAAGACAATATTAAACTATACCCAAAATGGTGATGAAAGGTTTAAGTTTGATGAATGCTCCTGGTTCACAGCACTGACCTTGATCAGGATCTTTCTTTTGAGTTGATTTGGAGACGGAAGGCCATCAGCGGCGATGTCCACCGCTTTGGTCAGCAGCATTTCCCCGAAGACTTTCTTAAATAACGTGGCCATGTTCCTCTGCTGCACGATGCTACAGTGGTCCTCGATGGACAAGATGACGGGATATCTGTGGAACGAAATACAATTTTGTTTTATTTTTAACATCTGTCTGTGATATCACATTATGTCACAGAGCCTATAGTTTAGGCAAGGCAGTTGTATGGCATGGTTCATACACGACTCAAAGGCAACTCAGCAATATAGTTGAAAAAAATAAAAATAGGTCCCTCAATACCACTCTACCAGGAACAAAGACGGTCAATGCCAGGTCTTAAAGTATGGCAAGGCAAGTTTATTTGTATAGCACAGTTCATAGACAAGGAAACTCAAAGTGCTTCATAAAACAAAATATAAACAATCATACAAAACATTAAAATCATAAATAATCCCATTAACATGGAGGAGGAGGACAGCTGAAAAATCTTTTGTAGCAACTATGGTAAGAGTGAGAAGTCTACGTTTGGAGCCAATTTCTCAGTAATTCCTTGACGAATACTAATCAGTCATACAGATCCACGTCGTCTATGTCAGCACATATCAACTATAATCTAATTATTTTCTCATAAATGTGTCCGGAAATGATCAAAAACATGTTAGCCAGTAAAACAGACAATTAGATGAGAAAAATATGGAATCCAAACACTATCAAATTATGCTTTTTGTGGTTATTTTGAAACCACAAAAGATCCACCAAAAGCATTTTAAATCAAGACAAAATTAACATTTTTGAATCACAATGAAATGATGATCTGGGAAAACTGGGACAAAATTTTACCTCAACTGTTTTTACCCCATAAAGTTGTATTGACAATTACACTCCAACTGAAATAGAATTCAAGCGTATGAACACTACCTAAAGCATTGCAAAGCGTTTTGGGTGACCTTGGTTTGAAAAAATTTGCTTTATAAATAAAGATTACTCATTTACTTATAATTGAGAAGAGCGAATAGATAAACAATCTACGGTTGAAGAAAGAACACTCACTCTGATGTGACAAAGGCATGCTCCTTGATGGTGTGGAGGACGTCACAAAACTTGATCTTTGTGGTGAGTGTATGTCCGTGGTAGATGACGGGCATACCGTCCGGACCGTCCCAACAGTCCACTGAAAAATACACAAATTAAAGAACGTTGCATTTTGGTGGAGAGTTCGGTCCACTACTGTCTTTTTAGCGACCAACACAAACAGAAAGAATGGGCGCTCTGAACTGTCTACATAAGCAGACTAGCCAATCCACTGCAGGTGTGGAGAGCCCTGGATGCGTATTTGGGTCCGAACACAAGGATTGACAGTGAAATAGGGATGTACACCAACTATTTTTTAAACACATTGCATAGGAGCCATTTGTTCATAGGAGTGGGATGACAACTACTAATATATATAAATATAAATATTAATAAATGTCAAAAAATGTCCTTCAATGTCTTGAATCATAACTGTCCTTAGTCCAAGGGTCTCCAGTAGCTCCTCAAAGGATTCAAGAATTTAACACATATTGATCAAGGCCATAGCTCCAGGACTGAGGCCTTGTTTAGATGGAGACGCTGCAAAGAAATTAGCAAAAACAACAGCATTTACACAACGTCAGAAAACGATGTAGTTCTGGCACCAGGCCCACAGGGGGCAATGTAACTTTACAACGCGACATGTGCAACTCCCGCCAGTATAATCACTTCCTCAACTACATCCTCATCAGGCCACCAATAGACATGAAAGAATGTACCATCATAATTTTGCATTTAACAGTGGCATCGAAAATGGAAACTAAAATGAAAGCTGTGTAGCACTCAGAAGCACACGTGAGCATTAGTGCACCCACTGCCAATGTTGTTTCTGTCTTTTCTTGGCTACTGCCATGGATGTATTATATTAACTGGATAGGGTATTACTAGCTTGTAGCTGAATAACTCATGTGCTCAGGGGATTCTCGCGGTACTGCAGACTGAACCAGACTAAATTCACGTGGGCTACCCAGAAATTTTCCCCATAGGACTCAATGCATATTAAAACAGCTCGACCTCAGCTGACAGAGAACCTACAGCTTTAATAAAGATAGGATTTTGTGGGGATTTTAGTTTCCCTTGTCATCCTGAACTTTTTTTCTTCTTAAATCCTTCGGTTTTGTTTAAATCCACACTTTAGTGCCACAAACTCTACTCCTCTGGCTCTCGCTCTATCTCCCGCTCTGATGAACTGCTCTGATTGGTCAGAGCGCGGCCGAGCCCCTCTGTGCACGTGCGTGAGACCTGGTGTGAGAGCCACACACGCGTGTTTGACGCAACGCATTATGGGAGATCATCCACTGCGCAGAACCGGGAGGACCAGACGATGCCCAAATACAGGCGAGTTTCCCAAAGTTCTTTGCGAGTTTCAGGCAACTTCCGCTAATCTTTTCAGCCCCCATGCCGTCACAAAGCGCCACTGAGCACAACCATTCATTTGAATAGGGCGCCATCTTGAATCGCCGGGGCTTGGCTACTGCGCATGTCTAAATGAAGTGGGAGAGGTGAGGTCATTGCAGACAGAATTCACAACTTGTTCTTCACACAGCTGTGAAACAGGCCTCAAGCCGGGGCTGTTTCTACTTGCATTTTCACCGCCTGAAACACCGTCTTCATGTAAACAAAAGGCCAATTTTTACCCAATTCTATCATTATACTGTTGAAAAAAGCACATGAGACTGTAGAACGAGGACATTGCATCCCTTACAAATATTCTATTCGCCTTTTTGTTTTTACTCATCTCACCTACATGCTGCTATTTGTCTGAGAATGCGTCATTTCAAAAGACCATTACACACACTATAATCCAGGGTTATTCACAGAACCTGCTTAACAACCTGCTGAGTATAAAGACCATATCTACAGTCTGTGTTATGTAAAGAGGAGTGCCATATCCTCACACCACTTGAGCTTGTGAAGGACATGAAAAGTTGTTTGGAAGCCTGAAATTGCTTAAGTTGAAAGAGCTGTCTTGGCGATATAATCTTTTGTGGCTAAAAATAAATGCGGTATGTTTGTGATTTGTGTCTACCCACGTTCAATGCAGCGGCAGCCCATACGCAGACAGCGCGCGTACGCCTCCAGGGAGGACTCACTGGAAAACTGGTCTCCCGTCAGATAGCTAAAAATAAAAAAGCCAATGTTAAAGTACAAACACACGCACACACACAAGATACGTATTGACAGAGCAGGTCAAAAAAAAATGTGCTTGTTTTGATGAGATTTCTGTATATTATTATTATTATTATAATAAGTATTATTTTGTTTATTATCATTTGATAACAAACGCAGGCGGAAAACCACACATCATTTGATAACAAACGCAGGCGGAAAACCACACAAGATGCTTATTGACAGGTGAAACATTTGTTGTGTCAAAATTATTGGTTTGTTTTAATAAAAAAAATATTTTATATTTGTTTATTCTAATTTCATACAAACGAACGAATGCGTATTAACAGAGATGGAAATCTTTTTGTGTTCAAATATCATTGGACTGAAGGGAAAAGTGAAAGATGTTTAAGTTATCCTGCCACTTAAACTTTCTAATATTAGTTCATTATTATTAAAACTGGGATAAGTAACTTAAATAATACATGTTTGTCCCAGCAGGAAGACGTTTGTAGAAGTACAATGTTGCTGTTTTGGCTTATTATAAAACACTTTATCATTTGTGTACAGTAAGAAAAGAAATGGGTCCTTATTACTATGTTTGTCTATACTACTAAACTACAGTGCCTTGCAAAAGTATTCGGCCCCCTTGAACCTTTCAACATTTCGCCATATTTCAGGCTTCAAACATAAAGATATAACATTTTAATTTTTTGTCATGAATCAACAACAAGTGGGACACAATCGTGAAGTGGAATGAAATTTGTTGGATAATTTAAACTTTTTTAACAAATAAAAAACTGAAAAGTGGGACGTGCAATATTATTCGGCCCCTTTACTTTCAGTGCAGCAAACTCAGTCCAGAAGTTCAGTGAGGATCTTTGAATGATCCAATGTTGTCCTAAATGACTGATGATGATAAATAGAATGCACCTGTGTGTAATCAAGTCTCGTTATAAATGCACCTGCTCTTTGATAGTCTCAGGGTTCTGTTTAAAGCGCAGAGAGAACCATGAAGACAAAGGAACACACCAGGGCAGGTCCGAGATACTGCTGTGGAGAAGTTTAAAGCCGGATTTGGATACAAAAAGATTTCCCAAGCTTTAAACATCTCAAGGAGCACTGTGCAAGCAATTATATTGAAATGGAAGGAGTATCAGACCACTGCAAATCTACCAAGACGGCCGGCCGTCCCTCCAAACTTTCATCTCAAACAAAGGAGAAACTGATCAGAGATGCAGCCAAGAGGCCCATGATCACTCTGGATGAACTGCAGATAACTACAGCTGAGTGTGAGCTGTGTTGCTTTTACGGCCAAACATATCGTTTTGCATTGTGGCCAAAAAGTTTGAGTTTGGTTTCATCTCAGACCAGAGCACCTTACTTCCACATGTTTGGTGTGTCTCCCAGGTGGCTTGTGGCAAACTTTAAGAGACTTTTTATGGATGCTCTTTGTGAAATGGCCCACTCTTCCATAAAGGCCAGATTTGTGCAGTTGCCTTGGCACGACTGATTGTTGTCCTATGGACAGACTCTCCCACCTCAGCTGTAGTTATCTGCAGTTCATCCAGAGTGATCATGGGCCTCTTGGCTGCATCTCTGATCAGTTTTCTCCTTGTTTGAGATGAAAGTTTGGAGGGACGGCCGGGTCTTGATAGATTTGCAGTGGTCTGATACTCCTTCCATTTCAATATAATTGCTTGCACAGTGCTCCCTTGAGATGTTTAAAACTTGGGAAATCTTTTTGTATCCAAATCCGGCTTTAAACTTCTCCCAACAGTATCTCGGACCTGCCTGGTGTGTTCCTTTGTCTTCATGGTTCTCTCTGCGCTTTAAACAGAACCCTGAGACTATCAAAGAGCCAGAGAGACTTGATTACGGACACAGGTAAATATACACACAGGTAACATTCTATTTATCAATCATCAGTCATTTAGGACAACATTGGATCATTCAAAGATCCTCACTGAACTTCTGGAGTGAGTTTTTGCTGCACTGAAAGTTAAAGGGGCCGAATAATATTGCACGCCCCACTTTTCAGTTTTTTATTTGTTAAAAAAGTTTAAATTATCCAATAAATGTCGTTCCACTTCACGATTGTGTCCCACTTGTTGTTGATTCATGACAAAAAATTAAAATTTTATATCTTTATGTTTGAAGACTGAAATGTGGCGAAATGTTGAAAGGTTCAATGGGGGCCGAATACTTTCGCAAGGCACTGTATACTATACTACAGAGGATGTTGTGTTGTCTTGTCCCTGTATTCACACACACATTCTTGTGCCGCACTCACGTGTTGTGGGAGGAGGAAATCCAGTAATGGGACAGGGGGTTGTTCATGTTGTCAGGACGCACCTGGTCCAAGGACACGTCCCAGATGGTATTCTCCTTGGAAAACAGGTATGTCAGGAACTAAAAAGACACAAATGGGAAGTCACTTATTAAAGAGAGAAACAATACACCAGCACGTTGCAAGATAATTGTAGGTTGATGAAAAAAGGTATTGAAATCATCTGGTTATAAACAAGTCAGTAGCCTACAACAGTTGTATCTTTGCTTAAAGCTTGGGTACATAACTTTCAACCCGCAAACAAAATATTTACTGTAATAAAATGTACATAATTCTGCTTAATTCACTAGTTTTCTCATTCATGCATTCTTGGGCTCTGTCGTATCTTTAGATCAACTTTATCAGACAGAAACATGAAAAAGAGGCCAATCATAACGGGTAAGCTTTAAGGCGCCATTCCTATCAAATACAACTGAAAAAAATCCACAACATATTTTGCATATATGTGAAACAGAAGTGTTTTAAAAAGGTAAAACCATATAAGTTATAATTGTACCTCTTCCTGAGAGAAATACGGCTGCTCCACTTCTCGCAGTGGGTCTTTCAAGTAACTGACCATAAAGTCCTGCACCTTGTTGTTGTCTGAGGCCCATGATTCCTGATGAAACACAGCATAGTATCAACCTGATCATTGACAAAATAACCTGGTTTGTGAAGTGTGTGGGTAATAATTACATTCTGTTGTTCATAGAGGAAGTTATGGAATTCTTCGAGGGAAATCCTTGCCTCTGGTTTGTCGATATATCTGAGAAACACAGACGAACAAAAAAGGTTAAGCACACCAAACTATCTTGAGGTGCAGATTCAGAGAGAAATATAACAGAAGTCCAAAGAAGTAAAAGTACTCTCAGATTGCAGATGTCTTTTCAGAATCAGACTTATTATATTGAGTGTATTATTATTTATGTAGGTTAATAATAAAAGACATTGAAAGCATCTGGTTTGGTACAAGACATTTCCTATATCGAGAAAAAAACATTTGTCTCCAATAGTCTAAAGTACTTAACTAACTCAACATGAATTTTCCTGATATTTGGGACGTTTTTTTTTCCAATAAATACAGAAGCTTAATTCAGTCACTTTAATAAAAAACATGTTTTTTTTTTTAATGAGATTTGAGATTGTTTCCTTTCTGGTCTGTAATAATAAAAACCTTTACAAAGTTTCTCAAACAGTGGAGCAATCAAAACTGCAGTCACAGACTGGAATAAAAATCTGTGTTTGCTGATGTCCTTATTGTACGTGTTCTCAAGTTTGTAATGTTCTGGTCTGTGCAATGCGTTTTTCAAATGATCATGAATCTTAATTTCTGACTCAAATTAAATTGGTCCACATTTAAGAAATATAAAAATAGGAAGACAATGCAACGCAATGCATACAGTAAGCCCAAGTTTATACAGTTTTTTATGTTGCTGCTTTTACTAACCACCTTATAAAGTGTCCGTATGTAGCTTTTAATAACCGTTTGTTGATGGCTGTAACATCAACCTACTGTGGGACTACAGATGGAAACTTGGTGAAAAAATGGGCATATTTACATGGACAGGAGCTGATCAAATCAACACACTGAAAAACATTAAGATCGGACAAAGGCATTGTGACCGAATTTAGTTTGAAAAGAAACGTACAGAGGCTGATATAGCCAAAAAAACAGACATTATGGTGAGACTTCCTGTATTGATAATTGAACATACCTTTGCAGTAATGGGATCTCCAGCTGAAAGAACAGAGAGAAACAGTTAGATAATTTCTCAAAGTGCTGCGTCAGTGTGTGTGAGCAGAAAAGGCCAGGAGCATATAGATCCTGAGCCGGGGGTCCATGGGGGTGTAGAGGGGGGATGAGAGGGGGTAGGATGGTCCGGGTCAGCCAGGTCATCACTTAGAGTAACCCCAGCCAGTCTGTCGGCCCACTTTCCCATCAGTCAATGTGTGCGTGCGCTAACAGCCGCACGGCGAAAGGTTTTAGTGAGGTTTTAGTATTGATCCGAAAACCATTTGAGAACTCGGCAATGGGGGGGAGGAAGGAAGCCACTTTTGGCCCCCGTCATCATAGTCTCCAACAGATGAAATTATCTGAGCTATAAAAAGTCTCCGAAAATACAGAGTCGAATGCAGTGATTTGGAAACAAAACATGTTTCTGTCTTCTGTGATAATCTATGGTAGTGTTTCTCAACCGGGGGAATGGGCAGCCATTTTGAGTGGGTCATGAGCCTTTGTTGGAGATGAGTAATGCATTTACAACATTGCAATAAAAACAAAAAAAACAAATCATACAGAACGAAGCTACGTTTATTTGAAATAAAATAAACCGTAATTTAGGAAAGTAATGGAAATGGGGTTTTATTACTTACAAACCCCATTTGAAGTCCTACCCTACTCTACTCTACTCAAACTTTGGTGCCTAAAAGTTTAAATTGAATTATTAGTTGTTATTTGACCCAGTTTAAGAATCTTATCTTAAAATAATTGGACCTTCCTACAGTTGAGTGCCTTCAGAATCACTGCTTTTATGAACAGGCATTTTTCTTAGAGCAAAAATAATCTGTGCATTTCATAAAAGTAAAGCCTAGTTTCCACCAGCCCAACTCTACTCGATCTGGTTGTGTTTCAAATACACTTTTGTACCCAGTACCAAATCCTATAAACCTACCCATAACAAGTCCCTGGTAACAATGGCTTCCAGCAGTTAGAACCAGGGCTAAGCAGTGACCAAAAAAGTAGCTGATATCAGTTAAACATGACCAGTGGCTGATGGAAGTTTATTTTTCTCCTACTTGTCAATTCAGGAGTTTCAAAGGACAGTGGTGATGACCCAGGACACTCGCATTCAACAACATTTATTTACATTTATGGACATTGGTCTCTACCCCTTCGGGACCAATAGCTCCATTTGTTTCTTGTGTTTGAAAGGTTTGATTCTCTGATCTGTGTTGGTGAATCGGCGGTTTTGGAAAGTCCCATAACTACTGTTATGATTAAGGCCATACAAAAATAAAATACATAGAATTGAATGAAAGTCAGGATGTGGAAACAGGGCTTATGTGGTGATATTGCAGTCTGTCAGAAACATAATACTTGACAGCTTTTAACATAATCAAAAATTGATTATGTTCAAAAGTCAATTTTTAATGACAAGTCCCCTTTCATCTTACATTTTTCTGAGCGTCAAACATGAGGCTTCGATACAGCTGAGCAAACTGACTGAAAGACACGTCCCCAGTTCTTATTTCAGAGTCCTGCAAAATAAGAATCACATTTATTAACAACACCTCTATTGAAAAGGAGAGTGATGGGTTTGCGGACAATGAGGCTCACCGGAAGTTTCTCCCGAAGGAACCGCATGTTGGGAACCCTGTAGTTGACCTGGCTCAGCATGTTCTTCAGATCCTTGCAGGAAATCCTAATAAGAAAAAAAGAAGACATTAAAACAACATTTATTGGCACGTACTACTGTTGTTTATACAGCGGCAAAATCAAACATTGCATGGGGTTGTAACGAACGTAATTTGATTTAAAATAGGCTAAATTAAATTGGAGACAATACTTTTGTTTTAAAAAAGACACAGCCCTTGCTATGATCAAACAGTGTAAGGCAGGCAATATTTCACTTTTAAATGGGATTGGATGGCTCAAAAAGGAGTGGGAAGAAGAACACTTGTGTGCTCTCACCCCCGTTCCTAAATTTCTTTACTCAGCTTAGTTACTGGTGATTTGAATTTGTGTAGCATGTCTATGGCTCTAATGATCCCTTAACTTTACAATACATTTTGTAAATAGTAAGAAACAAAAAACAAAAAAATTTCAGACAAAAATCGATATTATGAGGTGGCTGAACACATGAGGGACTATCTAGTTACTTTCCACCTCTCTGTACGGTCGTATAGACTCAACATTTGTTACAGCACTCACACAGACACACATTGCCGCTCTATGACCAGACTCAATCTAATTATCTGTATTTCCTGTTGGGACGATTTGATCTGGTCTTCTTACCTATCCTCCCGGTTACGGTCCACGGCGGAAAACTGCTTACGTAACCACCTGCAGGACGGGGAAAGAACAAGACAAAAACATGTGAGGACAAAATGTGGTTTAAATCATGTTTTTTTAAAAGAGACTGGAAAACTTTTTTATATAACAACAGTAACATAAAGTGTAAGCCTGTTATCTCACATTCACCCGTATGTACATAAAAAGACGCTAATGTTGTGGGAGTGGCTTGAATAGATGAGGTAATCTAGTGTTTTACGCTAATGTCATGCTAACAGCTTTTTAATTTGGAGTACTGAACTATTAAAACAAACGAGGGAAGTGTTGTACACGTGGTATTAATGATATAATTAGGACATGAACTACTTTTGTTTACAGTATGTTTTGTTTTTTTTCTTCTGGACCCAGAAGTGTACAGGTAAAAAAACACTATTAGTTGCAATGGGTCTACGTTCCAGGTGTGTGGCAGGAAGAGCTTCCAGAGGCCAGTTTGAAATATCCCAAAAGAAGCCAAATCACCACATCTCATCCAGTTCTACATAAAAAACCATGGATGCTCACAGATTTTAAAGGGGTCGTATGTAAGATGCACAATTAGCGGTCTAATAGTAGAAATAGTGATATATATCTAACATTCATTAATAAAGGGACTGTCTGGAGGTGAAATCAACCCAGGGCCATCATACTGTGAAGCACAAGCAAAGAACCAAAACAAGCTACATTTCAATAGTTTAGGAAGGTCTTCTTAGTAGAGATTAAAGTAACATTGTTTGGTAAAGAAGAACCAAATATTATATTAAAGCTAAATTTCATCTAATAGAACTCTCTTGCTGCTTCTCAGCAAGAACGTCATGGGTTCAAATCCCAGTCGGAAAAGGGCCTTTCTGATCGGAGTTTGCATGTTCTCCCCGTGTCTGCGTAAGTTTCCTCCGGGTGCTCCGGTTTCCCCTACCACCAAAAAATGCACAATAGGGGTGAGTGAATGGATGGTGTTGATTGGGGGCTCTGATGTGCCAGTGTGTTAAAATGTTTTGGGGGACCTTGGTCTGTAAAATGTGCTAAATAAATAAACATTACTTACTAACAAATAACAAAAATATTGTATACTATCCCTTTAAATCTATAAATGTCCTTATGTAAAACTACTCCTGAGTGAGTAGGTTTTTAGACCAATTTTCGTAATATTTACGTGGGCTTATGACTTACCTCTCTATCTGAAGAGGTGTTGGGGATTTCAGAGTGTCAGCCACAAGACAGTTCAAACCCTTCACCCACATCGACATCTCTTCATCGGTTGAGGCTGTAGTCAAACAAAAAAACTATGCATAAACATGAATGGTACAAAAAATACCACACAACTTTGCAACAATAACACAAATGTCAAAAATATGTTATGGTTTCATAAAGGAAACAATTTGAAACCATAATAACACTTATTAAGTGTTAACGAGACAGTTTTAAGTGAGCAATATTTTGGAGAAAAAAAAAGTTAAATCAATGGAAACTGCACAACATTTAAATAACACCCACAAGAATAGCTTTGAGCTGATCGAGTGAAGGCGGCCCCCTCTTATTCACTTTTCTTTCTGAAAAAGCTGATCCATGCATGTGAAATCTTGTGATAGAACCAAACTGTTTTGAGCGCTAGGATTAGATAAGTACCCCAGCTTTACGCAATGAAACTTTGTGCATTTTGTATTTAGACAAATACAAAATGAACAAAGTTTACAGATTTTTGTCCTTTATTTATTGTTACAATAATTGATTGATTCAGGAGTCAATACTTATTGAAGGCTGCCCTGGCCTGTTATAAATTTATTCTGTTCTTATTAATGAATCCAAAATGTTCTTATTAATAATAATAGTGGTAATAAAATGGTAATATTTGTCATATTACTGCAATTTCAGAATGCAGTATGCAGAATGAAAGTACATATAATATGTAACATTGAAATGTCTCCACTGCCACCCAAAGTGACCCATCATAAAGATCAAAGCTGTAGCCATCGCACCTGCCAGACTGAGGGAGCGGAGGCGGAACTCGGTGCCGTACAGGATGACGAAGCAATGAGCTGCTTCCACACGAGTCGCGGAGTCCTCAAGACAACGCTCGAAGTCTCTGGACTTTTGACCAGGACGGATCTCCTTGATCTCCCGAATGTCGACTGCAGAAAAAAAGAACATGTTGCTTAGAGGAAATTAATTTTTGATGTGATGACCAAAATAAAACCAAAGTTACAGTTCAAACATGATATAAAAAAAGACGAATCAAAGACAACAAATACAGTGCGTTTTTTGATTTACAGTTGTTCCTGTTTTTATAGCACTGGAAAAGGTGAAAAGTAAATACCAGCTTCTATATTAAAGAATAAATTATGGACAATCTTGGGAAACATGCATTCATTATTCCCATCCCATTGAGTTTTGAGTTGTTCCTCGCTAATGCAAGAGGGTCTAAAGACAGTGACGATCCAGGACAATTATAGACATGTATTAAATGTATGAACATTGGTCATCCACACCAATGGCTCCAGTGTGTTTGTTATAATTGCATTTCTTGTGGTCAAACTATTTGATTCTCTGATCAATTGTTCAGGAATCTACAACTTCGTAAAGGCCCCGAGACGACTGCTGTTCTAGGGCTATACAAAAATAAATTAGATTTAATTTAGTCGCGTAGGCACTATTCACAAGCCTGATAAGCCCTTGTTTTATATTCACATTAATTATTGACCTTCATGAGAGTCCAGAACCAGAGAGAGTGCCTAGGAGGGTATTTTGTTGGACACGTTTTTAGTGATCGGGAAAACTGTAGCACCTGGAGGAAACCAACGCAGGACTTTCCCCATTTGTGGGGAAAGTCCTTGAGAAAGTTGTCTACCTACAGCTTACTAGATTTCTTATAATCAACAACTCATTTGATATGTTTCAGTCCGGCTTTAGACCCCACCACAGCATTGAGACTGCTCTCGTTAAGGTTACAAACGATATCCGGCTGAACACTGATGCAGGCAAAGTCTCAATCTTAATCTTGTTAGATCTAAGTGCTGCCTTTGACACCGTCGACCATGAGATCCTCTTACAGAGACTAGAGGACTGGGTTGGCGTCACTGGCACCGCCCTAAGTTGGTTTGGGTCTTACCTTGAAGACAGGAAGTACTTTGTGGAGATTGGAAACTGTGTCTCAGATCATATGGCCCTGACCTGTGGAGTCCCACAGGGGTCGATCCTGGGACCTCTTCTGTTCAATCTCTACATGCTGCCGTTAGGTCAGTTAATACGCAGAAACAAAGTTTCCTATCATAACTATGCAGACGACACTCAGATCTATGTCTCACTGACTGCAGGAGAACATGGACCAGTGGACTCACTCCTTCACTGTATCCAACAGATCAGTGAGTGGATGCAAAACAACTTCCTTCAGCTAAACGCAGACAAAACTGAAATGATTGTCTTTGGTCCCCAGAAACAAAGAGAGCGTCATCTGTCACCTACAGTCTCTCTCCCTAAAACCTTCAAACAAGGTCAGAAATCTAGGGGTAATACTGGACTCAGACTTAAATTTTAATAGCCACATCAAATCAGTAACATCAGCAGCTTTTTACCATCTAAAAAACATTGCCAGGATCAAAAACATAGTGTCTAAAGCAGACTTGGAGATTCTTATCCATGCATTTGTCTCCAGTAGGTTAGACTACTGCAATGGCCTGCTCACAGGTCTGTCTAAACAGGCTGTAAAACAGCTGCAGTACATTCAAAATGCAGCAGCTCGAGTCCTGACTAGAACCAGGAAGTACGACCACATTAGTCCAGTTCTCAGGTCTCTGCACTGGCTTCCTGTGGCTCAGAGAATAGACTTTAAAACAGCTCTGCTTGTGTACAAGTCTCTCCATAGCCTCGCACCAAAATATATTAGTGACATGTTAGTCCCATATGAACCAGCCCGGACTCTGAGGAGCACAGGGACTGGACTCCTGTTAGTGCCCAGAGTCAGAACTAAACATGGGGAGGCTGCTTTTCAGATTCATGCTGCTAAAATCTGGAACAGTCTTCCTGAAGATGTGAGACAGGCCTCCTCTCTGACAATGTTTAAAACCAGGTTAAAGACAGTTCTGTTTAACTCACTGACTGCCAGGCATTTTCAGATTTGAGAAGTGCGTTCTGCCAGCAATTTCAGGTGATTTGACCCAACTTTGAAGTGCCACAGAATATTCATTTTTTAGACGATGTAAACACCAAGGGCACCAAATTAAAGATTAACCTCTCTGCTTTACTCTGGAAAAAACAGTTTGTTTCTACCTCTTACCGTTCTTGAGTTATTTGCCATAGAACAAAGCATACTTTCACCCATAACACCTGGTCTGAGCAAGAAAACAGAAAACGAGCTGTATGTAAACAGGAACATATCAAGCAGAAAAGAGACTTTTAGATGCATTTTTGCTGCTTTAGTGACAACTCAAAACATCTTCACACTTGTTCCATTACAAAAATTATAAAAACATGACTCTGAAATAATACTTTTGATGGCAAATTGTTGGCAATTTATTCACAGATAGAAAATTTAACTTTCTTCTATACCATCAACCAAAACGTCAAACAACAACAACACAAAGATCAATAAAACTATAGATGTATAAAATAGAATGAAGCGTGTGAATTTGTGTGTGTGTGAATGTCAGTGTGCGAGTGAGTGTGCTGTGAGTGAGTGTCTGTGGTGTGAATGTCATGTGCGAGTGAGTGTCTGTGTGCGTAGTGAGTGTGTGCGTGTGTGAGTCGTGAGTGTGAGTGTCGTGAGTGTGTGTATGAGTGAGTTTATCTGCTTTTTCAGTCCTCCCAGTAGTTCAGCTTTGAGTTGTAGAGGTTGAAACACTGTGTGCAACGGAACACGACACGATGTGACATTTGTAGTTCTCCCTCCGTGAAGAAGAGCTCCAGAAAGTCTGGATCAGATGAATCCAGCTCCAGAAAGTCTGGATCAGATGAATCCAGCTCCAGAAAGTCAGCTGGATCAGATGAATCCAGCTTCGCAGCCTCTGTCCGCAGTCTCTGAGGTCCAGGAGCTCCTGTGAAGGGACTGACTCGGCTCCCACTGATCCTCCTGTCAGCCATCTTCCCCAGAGCTTCTGGGTGACGAACGTGCTGGAAATTGGATACACACAATAATATATTATACAGTGAATTTGTTACAATAAATCAATACATAAAATACAATGAAGGCCTTCCTCCCACATTATTGACTGACTACTTTTGGACCAAACACAGTATACTATATTATTATTATTATATTATATTGCCATGGGATGTACAAGAATAGAAATAGTAGTTCTTTTACCTTTTTTGTGCACAGCAACTGCCTCTTGATGCACCACCTGTAAATAATATACATTTGTAAATCACTATACCAGGAGAATATATACAATAATATGTACAATGGTATGAGGAGGAATCATCTTTACCTCCATGCCCTGTCAACCCCAATGGGGGAGGGCTCTTTTATCAGAATCTGTGAATGGAGAACACATTTCATTTAGTCAGAGCTATGACACTACAACAAGATGTTCAAGCATGAAATAACTAAACATAAAAATAATAAATACAACAATGATAAAACGCATAACTGGCATTTACTAAAGAAACAGTAGGATTTGAGCGCTGTGTTACTTTGCAGATCAGAGCAAGTTTCTGCGCCTTTCCCTCCTCTCAAGTTTGCATTTTCTAGGCAATTTAGCAAGTTCTTACCTTCGACTCTTTGTGGAGCTTCTGGAGAGGATGCTCTGCTGGATTGAGACTGCAACCACTCATCCGATAAATCATGATCAGGTTTGCTGAACGAATCCGAGGCATCAGTAACAACAGCAGCTGATACGCTGCGAGAGGCGGAAGGTGTGTCTCTGCTCTTGCTCCGCGCAAATGTGGCTGCAGAGACGGACCTCCACCCGGGTCTCCACTCTCTCCCCTCTCGACCTCACTCACTGATCCGCGAGTCAATCTCTGAAGCAGTGTACACTGCTTATAACTATTCTTTTTCGCCATCACTCTTGCTATACTATCGCTAAACTAGATCGCTGATCCGTCTCAATGCTACGCTATCACGCTCTGCTACAGCACCACGCTCTCCAAACACTCCCACACTCCTCCTCCTTCTCTCCACTGACTTATGACCTCTCCTGTGGTGCAATACTGCATCCTACTGGTGTTGATTTATCATTACAGGTACATTTGCACTATATATCAGTATTGTGGGTCATTCACAAGGTGCGCCAGACATTACTGTAGCCTCCCGTGTAATAACACGAAAAACTCGTCAAACTCGTCATGGGCAGTGAGCGTTACTATTCAACATGACGAGTTTTGTCGTCATGGGCAGTGAATGAGTTAAAGACCTTATGACAGGTTTTTAAAAAAAAAATTGTGGATATCAAAATTGCATGACAATGTCAATTTGAAAGAGATTCCGGCAAAAAAAAATCCTATATTTTATAAAAAGAACGTGTTTTTCATGAATTTAAGTTGTCCATGCTCTAACCTGTGTGTGACGTCACAGCGGGTTACGCCCATGCATTGAAAACCATGGATCTATGCCACAGGACTGCCTTTTCTCTCTTCTCTCCACTGGTGCCCAACACAATACTGCACTCTACAGGTGACAATTGCTCACTACACATAAATTGCCGTTTTGAGTGTGAAAAAGTGTCCGAGGTGGGATTTGAACCCAAGTATCTGGATTGGCAGTCCATCGACACAACCACTGGACTATCTCAGTGACAACGAAATGATACATTCTAGTAGTTATCTTAGACTCGCTGTACACGGCCTTGTCATCTTGAATATCAGCGAAAAAAGAACGAATACCAAATTGTAAACAACTTACAGCATTGAAACGTACCCGTTCTGACGTCACCAAGGGCTGTGAAGTTTTTTCGTTTCTAAGGGCGTTGCTATGGGGTTATTTCGATTTGGGGGGATCAGACAAAAAAAACAACTGATTTTGAAACCTTTAGTAGTTCTCTTCTAATATAAAATGGTATTAAAACTGTATTTCTAAATAAATCAAACCCGTCATAAGGTCTTTAACTGTGCATACAACTGAGGGATTTTATATTTTTATCTTTCTTTTTAATGTTCTGTGATAATTTATGATTTTAATGCTTTCTTGTTTTGTTCA